CGTTATGGAAAAATCCATAAGTGACAACACATTAAAGCAGTATAATTCAACATATAAGCAGTGGTGGAGTTTTTGTGTAAACAAAAACATTTCACCTTTTGAAAAAAATAGTTCTCATATAATATCATTTTTTCAAAATGTTTTTGAAACAACAGAAAACATGTTTGGTACGTTTAACTCCCACCGCGCTGCTTTATCTTTAATAACTTCGCACGATTTAGGAGAGGATCCTCAAATTAAAAGGTTTATGAAGGGGATTTTTAGGCTTCGACCACCGAGACCAAAGTACGACTGTACATGGGATCCTCAAATTGTTTTGACTTATTTAGAAAAAACAGAGGCAGATTCTTTAAAATGTCTTTCCCATAAATTAATCACGTTACTTGCCTTAGGAACTGGCCATAGGATGCAAACTTTTTCTCTTATAACGCATTCAAATATTCAATTTACTAACGAAGGAGTCAAAATTTTTGTCCCTGATTTTATTAAGACATCCAGTGTCAATTCAGTGCAACCTTGCTTAGATTTACCTTTTTTTAACAATGCCAACTTATGTGTAGCCTCAACGCTTCAGAAATATTTAGAAGCTACACAAAATTTGCGACAAGGGTGTCTTAAGCTGTTTATCACGTATAAAAAGCCTTATAAACCTGCTACGAAGCAAACTCTAAGTAGATGGGTAAGGGAGACCTTACAGGCAGCGGGAGTCGACTCGTCAGTTTTCAAACCTCATTCGATTCGACACGCATCCACTTCAGCCGCATTAAGAAATGGACTCTCTCTGGACTCCATTAAAAAATCAGCAGGTTGGAGTAAAAATTCCAACGCTTTTGCTCGGTTTTATAACCGTCCAATTAAAGATAAGAGTTTTCTGGCTTCGATTTTTGAGGCACAAAATAGTTAAATTCGGTGTCTTATAGTTTAATTACTATACTTTTTTGTTACCTTAGTACCTATAAGTTTGTTTTGAGTTCTTTCGTAAGAGATAAGAATATTATATCTCTTTTTTATACTTACCTTTTTGCGGTTACCACTTACCTAATACGGGTAAATAAGAAGTAAATTTTGTTTAGTTGTTGAGAATAAAAGGTTTTTTGTTTTTCAATTTACGCGCAGCTTATTTTTTATGTCCTGTTTTCGGTTTCTGCTTTAAACATCTACATAGTAAACAAATTATTGTAATATTTTCGGACTGGACCTTCATATAATTACGATCGAACTTCAGGTAAGTTCTTTTGATCGATTAATTATGTTTGCTTCATATTTAAATATTGCTCCAGCAATTGTAATTTTCTGTTTTCAATTGCTAGCTTCTCTTCGTGCCTTTTTTGCCTTCTCTGATATTCCTCGTTTTTCATATTTATAAATGATTGTGTAACAGTTTTTTGTGTAGTTCTGCGTTTTTTTTCTTGCGGAGGCTCTGTTTGAGACTCTTTAGGAAGATCTAGTTGTTCATCTGCCGCATGTACTACATCCTCGTCTTCAGGGTTTGCCTCAGTATCTTGTGCAGGTACTTCCTGATGTAAGCTATCTCTAGAAGTATATGCAAGTGCATGCTCACATGAATTAGAAGGTTTGTTTCCTAATATTTCGTCAATTTCATCAAAGAACATAAATCTAGAGGGTCCCCTGCCGCTTCTATTTTTGGCATCCTTTGCTATCTTCTAGCTACGAATCAAGCTCTTCCATTTCACTTGCGCTTGCACAGCTGTGACTGCAAAACCTGCACTTAGCATGTCGTTGACCACATCGTTGAAAACAGTCTTTCGTTTTTTCGGGTGATCAAAGTTTTCGATATGACTGGCGACGGAGTCGATTAATGCTTTAGTTTCATTGTACTGCCAGGAATGTTTTGTTTCGGAAAGCGATGCGACACTTTCATTTGATACAGCATCTAGTGTGTTCTTATTCTGTAAAGTGAATGCAAAAATAAACCTGTTTGTAATTCTCCATAAGTCTTACAAAAGCTTCCTCTTCATTGACTTCTTCCTTTTGACTACAAAGTAACGAATATGCAAATCTGTCATCTGTAAAGATTCTCTATTCGTCAATCCAAATGAATCGGGTGCTTACCAGTCATTGCTCTCTTAAAATCCTCGTCATTTAAATTAAAAGTGTTCTGAATATTAATTTCCACGGTCCACTAATATTAACTCCTTTACTGAATTATTTGAACACATGATTGTATCAATTTCTAAGGTTATGTACAAACGCAAACAAATTCAACTGGACTGTTCCATTCGCTAAAAGCGGTGTAGTCAAAGAGTAGAGCAGGTGCAGAGCACTTCCGGAGTAAATCAAGTTCGAATGGAAAGCGCCTATTGATATCCAACGAGAAATTGACATATCAGACACGAGGGAGGAATATTTGAACACATCTTAAAACGTCAAATGTAGATATTCGTTACGTTACTTTTATTTGATATTTTTCGTACTTCCGAGACTAAAGTGACAACTTCACTCCTTTATGACAAGTACTGAAGTGTCACTTTTTGTCCCGCCGGGATTAAATTTTACGAAAATCCCGGAAGGATGAAATTACTAACAAAGCAATTTCAGTAGGTTTTTCCACATTTTGTATGCGGCACTACTTCTTAAACGCATCGTACTGCTGCTCATATAGTTTTTGGATTTCGGTGGTATCAATTCTTTACCTACTTTGGTTGCTTTTTATCAATATCAAATACACGTTTGTCACCCACCACCAAAATTATGACACTAGCAATGACAGTTCCTATGGTAACTTGTTGAGCAGCGATTTTTTGAAAGAACGCGTTCTCAAACTCCATACATATTAAGTGTTTCAGTTTCGGAAGTACGAAAAATATCGTATATACCTTGCGACTGAAGTAGTGGTCTTAATCCCTCAGGTAAATTATGGCCCTCCTTTCGGTCGGGCCATAAACTTTACCTTCGGGATTAAAAGTACTACCTCAGTCCCGCGGTATATAATATACTATTATTGAGTTTATCCGTAACTTAACATTATTATTCAGGTATGTATATCCAAGAATTACGAAAGTAATGTTTAATGAGATCTTAAAGGACGAAGATTTGGACGAAACTGTGGTGTTTGAAGGAACACTAGAAGAATTTAATAACAGTGCAATGTCACAAACGATTGTTCCTTCTCTTTCCACTTCAGTTAGAAGTACTTCAACAGAAAGTAGAGATAGTCGAGGCAAGAGAAAACGTTCTGCGAATAATCTTACCGATGACACATTAGGAGCGCTCATTGCCGACGCTTCAAAAGTTTTGTCAAGTGTAGCTAATAAAAATGTGACCAGTAATTTGGAATCTCCCGAAATATTTTCTTTGTAAGTTACATACGTAACTATTTTCTAAGGTACTTAGGTAAGTGTATATTTACAGATCTATGGCTCAGGAGTTAGCTGTTATAAAGAATCAAAAGATATTACAGAAAACCAAAAGAAAAATAATGAACATCATCTATGATGCACAAGAGGAAGATGACGAAATAAAAGATTAGTGTAGTATTTTACGTTTAATTAAAAAAACATGTATATAATTAGAATTAATAGTATATTAAGTATGGAGAACGGTAAGGGATTTTTACCGTTCGAAGACAATTGTTTGGAGGAGGAGCGGAGCGACGACTCCAATTATTGTCTGAGAACGGTAACCCTTAACGTTCGACGTGCTTATAACATTTTTTGCGCGTTCGAAATTAAAATTATGCAACCAATATAAATATGCACTAAGAAATTAACGAGCAGAATAAATCGAAGGATCGAAGTGGTATGGTGTACATCACTAGGTAACCAGTTTATTTGTCAAAACTGAAATTAATAATTTCTTGTGCATGTGTCTGATGTAGTTTGCTAGCTTGCCACTTCCGTTATGACTTTATGAGCGAGGTATTCGCCAGTGGCCGAATGGTATGTCGAAGATTTTACAGAACAAAATTGTAATTGGAATGTATTAAGAAAAACGAAGGCACATCTTCAAACACATTGATCTCTATTGCTTCAGGTTTAAATGAAGAACGTGTTCTTTCTATAGGAAACATCAGTACTAATTGTACGTTTAATGTAACAATAATTAAAGATTAAATGTAATGTAAGACTGTTAACATTGAACTGATTGTTTTTAAAAAGGCGTCGGTAAGTATTTTTGCTGTTCTGTTTTTAGATCGGTAAGTAATTTTGGCGTCGTCGTATAATCATAGCAACTGGTAAATTCCACGTACTGTCATATGGATTCACACATGGTAAATAGTCAGAAATGACCGATCGCGCAAAAATAGTTATTGTTCATAACTACCTATTATATTGCCAGGTACTACACTTCCTGTTCCATTAAAATATGTACAAAATTCATTACGTATGTCTTGAGCATTAATAGTTGATCTATTGCTCCCTTGCTGACTAAGACCATACTTAAACGTATATTATAAAATTATGAAGTGTACAGCATGCTAATACAATTGTTTGTACTTTGTGAACATCTAAATTAATTGTCGTAAGCAGAATACGAAAACGATTTTATAAAATGCCAAATGCATTTTCAACAACGCGTCTTGCCCTACTTAATCTATAGTTAAATATTTGCATTTCGTCTGACATATCCCTAAATGGGAATGGTTTAATTACATTGGATAACAACGGAAATGCTGCATCCGCAACTATTACATATGGCACAGCTTTTGTACAACCAGGTAAAGCATTCTCCTTTGGAAAATTTAAAGTATTGTTTTGTAAAGTGCTATACTTACAGCTTACTACTTCTAAAGACTCCTCCATCAGAAACCCTCCCATTTGTCCCAACATCAATATACAAGAAATTATAGGGGAGACTGGGGGAATACCGGCCGTTGGGGTAATTTCGGACATAAGATTTCTCCCACCATAGTAAATATTTGGCGCGCTTTACCTTCGGAAACCAAGCGTCACGCAACCGCAGCGCTTCAGTGTTGCTTTGGAAGTGTAAGGGTGAGTTGTTTAATTTTTATAGAAAAATTTTCGAAAAATCAAGTGGTGTTATAAGAATAATCGGTGTTAAAAGTGGTATATTTCCGTAACGGTAAGTAATAGAGGATAGGTTATTACAAATAAATGAGTTACATTCTGTTGTCTTTCAATTATCTATTTACAAGATCATGTTTATTTAGGCATATTTATGTTACGGGCCGGAATTACCCCATAAAATATTTTCATTTAATTTGTATCATTCTTTCAGATGCCGCGGACCTATAAAAGAAAGACTGAGAAATCTTCTTGGTCTGCCGACGACCTACAATCAGCTCTTACAGAACTCAAAAACGGTAGCCCACTTCGGGAAGTTGCTAGACGGTTTGGAATTCCAAGATCAACTCTTCAAGATCAACGTAAACGGGGGAATACATCCAAATTGCAATTGGGACGGTGCCCAGTATTTAGTGAAGAACAGGAGGGCGAACTGTCAAAGGAGATAATTCATCTTTCAAAGCTATTCTTTGGAATTACGCCGGCTCAAATCCAGCAAAGCGCCTACACTTACGCCAAACTGAATAATTTAGCAAATCGTTTTAACAAAGAAAAGGAGTCCGTGGGGCGCGATTGGCTAGAAGGATTTTTACGTCGCAATCCACAAATTAGTTTAAGAAAACCGGAACCAACCAGCGTAAACCGTGTGACAGCCTTCAATAAACTAGAAGTTGGAAAATTTTATGAAAACCTAAATAAAGTAATGGAAAGGTACAAATTTTCACCAACAAGAATTTTCAACGCTGACGAAACCGGTATTACAACGGTGCAACGGCCTGGCAAAATCTACGCAGAAAAAGGCCAAAAAAGAGTGGGATATTTGACTAGTTGGGAGAAAGGAAAAACCACGACTGCTATGTGTGCATTTAGTGCCACAGGAGTTTACGTTCCTCCAATGTTCATTTATGCTAGGAAGAGGATGGCCGATCACTTGAAGAGTAACGGACCTCCAGGGGCTATTTATCGTTGCTCAGACAACGGATGGATAACTGAAGATCTGTTTGTTGACTGGTTGAAACATTTTGAATATTCAGTTAAAGCTTCACAAGAAGATCCGGTTCTTTTAGTGCTTGACAACCACTCCAGTCATTGCTCTTTAAACGCATATAACTTGTGCAAAGAAAAGGGGATTGTTATGCTCACGATTCCTCCCCACACATCCCATCGAGTTCAGCCACTCGATGTAACTTTTTATGGACCTTTAAAGACCGCATATAACTCAGAATGCGACAAATTCATGAGAAATCATCCCGGCGAAAAAATTACGCCCAATATCGTTGCTGACTTGTTCAACAAAGCTTTCGGGAGAGTTGCAACGGTTGAAAAAGCTACAAAAGGATTTGAGGTAACTGGAATATTCCCTGTTAATCCAGATGTTTTCACTGCTGAAGACTTTGTCGCCGCTGAGAATTTACAACCTACAAGCTCACATGAACCTATCCCTACAAATGAAGAAATAATTAGAACAGAGGAAGGAAGAGTAGACGTAGGAACGCACGTCATCGCAGCCAACGAATCGAAAGAAAATGTATCTTTTGCAGAAATAATTTCGACTCCTGGATGTTCAGGAATCAGTAACAAAAATCAAACAGGGGTTTCCAAGAAACAGCACTCTGAAATATTTACGGCCACTCCAATGAAAGGAGTTCTAGAGGAAAAGGAATCTGTAAAACAGAAGAAAATGCAGAAGACGAATTGTGGTGTGCGGGAAACTGTTACGGTACACCCTGTTTATACAGAATAATCGCACTACAAAACAAGCGCGCATGTCATTGGAGATATGGGAACCAGCGTTTGGCCAAATACGTGAACCGGTCTCTTTCTCGAATGCAACGACATTGAAAGCCAGAAATGTAATGTTCTGATATTATTAATAAATATTAATTAATGATTTGCATTTAAAACATCCATCTTGTATGTGCAAGTAAGTACCTAAATATACCTATTATTGTTTTCCGATTATATAAGTATGGAAATCTGTAATTATAATTATTGTATTCGTATTTGTGCACATTTGTTGCTTGTGTTTGTTGCCGCTAATTTTAGTTTAACTGTAGATTGGCATAATTGGAATCATAATTGGAGTAATTGGAATTCTTGTCATAAGCGTCCTGATTGGAGCGACCGGCGTAATCTGTAATCGTCATAAGCGAGATTGGTTGTCATCGATAAGACATTGGGTGCAGTCAGCACCTTTACCACTGTCAACTACCGAACAGCAGGTAGCGGGTCGGCAGTCAGCTAGACCTACGTATCGCCATCACCATCTTAAGGCATTATCGCAGCAGTGCAAGTCATGCGATCGCAAGTATAGTTGCAAGTTCTTAACAAACTATCTTATCTCGCCGCGCACAGTCGTATACGCCATTTTGTAAAGTTTGCTTTGGTGCCCTTGGGTACATTTTCTTTCAAATTTAAATTAAAGCGCTGATAAAGAGCTCGATCAAATATTCATTTCAATTATATTAACTAGTTTTTATTACTAACGTTTACTTCATTTACTTGGATAATTAATAAACTTTGTGAGGATGTTTTAAATTTACTTTATTATTGATTTCGATATATGTGCAAATTGGCATTTCAGGTTTTCAAATTTCAGTATATTAAATTTGATCCAATAGATTTTGTCCCCCTGCGCCCTGCGGACCTCACGCCCCCTATTGGGGTTTATTCCTAATATATTTTTGAGACGGTGCCCACCACCGCCACAAAACGAAAGCAAAAGGCGTAATAAGGCAAATTTTCAATGGTCCCAGTGATACCGGCAGCGTTTTGCTTACCAAAAATACCAACAACACTACCAACATTGTGGCGAAAAAAACAGGCCTTAGAAAAAAAAGTAAGGTCACCTACGAAGGTTGTGCGAGAGAAGAAGCAAATTCAGAAGACGGTGATGTTACCGAGGACATATGTATAATTTGTGGGGAATTCGGAAAGAACCGCGAAGTTTGGCTTAGGTGTGTGATTTGCGGTGGATGGGCACATAAAAATTGTAGCGATGGGGAAAAAAAGTGTTCATATGTATGCGATTTTTGTCAGTGAGCAATGTGTGGGGTAAATGCGGCCCCTGGCCGGAATTACCCCAATGCTTGGGGGTAATATCGGTCATGTATAGGGTAAATGTGTACAAGAGTGCGCACTTAGTGAATTAAACATTACTGCTTTTTTATTTTTGGAGATGTCTAGTACGTTTTAGTGTTAGCATGTAATATACTCACTTTAGAGCAAAAACCAATTGCCTTTTTTTGTTTAAACTACAATTTGGCTTATTATAACATTAATTGTGACTATATGTTAATGCGCACTCTTGAACGGGCGCCCGTTCAAGAGTGCGCACCTGAATGCATAAGAGTACGCACTCTATTCGCAATGCTCTTTAGTAGGGTGTTGAATGGTAAAGTAAAATAAAAAAACGTAGTTCTTTTTGTGAAGCTTTATTTAAAGTAGTTGCAATTAACTGTCACATGCAAAACAGGTAAAAACGCCTATAACATAAGTTGTACAGGCTTCATGCCACCAATTAGAACATTTTGAACACATTATCCAATCTTCGGTTAGTGGTTCCGTGAAAGTCTCTCCGCAACCTGGACAATCAGTTTTTTCTTCAGTGGTCTTTGTCGCCTTTTTCTTTTTCTTTGTCAAAAGTTTCGTGTTAGATAAATTTCTTTTTGTTTGTTTTACTTTTTTCTGGTCTTCTTTGGCTTGTCTTTGTTTTACTATTTCTTCCAGCTCGGATTTGAATGGAGTGCTAGACAATATTTCCGATCTTTGACTTTTGCTTTTGCGACGATTTTGTTCGTGTTGTATTGATGGCAAAGGTAAAATATCGGATATTTTTACTGCAGTTACAAGAGATGTATTATTGTTTTTGGGGGATTCGGTGACTGTAAAGGTGCTGGGTATTAAAGTACCGTCTTCGCAAACGATGTCCAGATCCGTAATGTCAGTGAGCATATCTTTTGAAGTAGAAAGCACATCTCTAGAAGAGCATGGGGGTGGCATATCTTCTGAAGTAGGAACCACATCTCGAGAACAGCATGGGGGCGGTGTATTAAAAACAGGGTTATCATTGTCCTTTGAATTGCATGGCGGTGGTGTGACATGGCCGGGAAAATTTATTTCTAATTCCGCCTCCTCGTCTTGTCGTTGAGGTAATGGTATCTCCGTCACTAAAGATGGAGCAAAATCAATATCGTCAAATTGTAAAGGGTTATACGGATAAATTCCTGCGGATTTAAATGAATTTTGGGCTTTGAGCAAATTTGCTACCCTGGAATAAGCCGCATTGAACAAGCCTGCAACCTGCATTTGAGTAATCACTTTTCCTGGGTTCGAAACCATCCAATTATCGCATTCGTTGGTGTAAGCGGTCTTTAATGGACCAAAAAAACCAACATCTAGGGGCTGCAGCCTGTGACTCGCATGTGGGGGAAGAGACAGTAAATCAATATGATTTTCTTTGCAATAGTGGATCACTTGCAAATCGCGATGCGAGCTGTGATTGTCTAGTACTAACAGTACAGGGCTCTCTTTTGTAGGGTTCGTGGCAGTTTTGAAATGTTTTATCCATTTATAAAATAAATCTGTGTTAATAAATCCTGAGTCAGATATTAATTTTAGTGTCCCGGGTGGTGCATTCAAATAAAGTTCATCTTTTAACCTTTTTCTGGGAAATATTAGAGCCGGAGGAACGTAAATCCCAGAGGCACTTACACAACAAACGGCAGTGATTAGTTGTCCACGCTCTCCGCTGGATACTTTACTCACAAGTTTTTTACCCTTCGTTGTTAGCACCTTCGGTAATTTGTTTGGGACGGTGGAAAGCCCCGTCTCATCCATATTAAATATACGCTCTGGTATATATTTTCTCTTTTCATACAATTCTTTTAAGTTATCAAAAAATCGTTGCACCTGTGTTTTATTGAAGCCCATAACCCGACCCATTGAGCACTTTTCCGGCTGTCTTAAAGTAATATTATGTCGTTGACAAAATCCAACAATCCATGTTTCACCGGCCATCTGTTTGACTTTATTAAAAGTGTTTGGTACATTATTTAAAACAGCAAACTTGTAGGTCGCAATTTGCAATCCTTTTTTTGTTAGTCCATAAAACATTTTATCTAAGTCTCTCACCTGTTGAGCTAGTTCTTGTTCTTCTTCTTTTGAAAAAATAGTTTTATAACGCCCCAATGACGTTGGAACAGTTCCGCTCTTCAGTCTTTTTCTTAAAGTTGATTCCGCTATACCCATTTCTAACGCTACTCTTCTTTTACTCGTACCCTCCGAAATTTTTCGTTTTGCCTCTGCCAAATTTTCTTCCGTAAAAATAAGTTTTCTATCACTTTTTCTCTTATATCTGCTCATTTTTATGTCGAATGGTTTTTGACTGCACTATAAATAACAAAAAATAAAAGCAAATTAAATATACTGTACAAGAGTACGCAGTGCGCGCTCTTGTAAAAACCACACTGCGCACTCTTGTACGGTCGTACATATTTTCCTAATGATACGAATATTTCTTTTATTTTTTAATTGAATGCAACTGCTTATTGTTAGAAATTCGTCTAAAACTACATACTTTTGCTTAGCAGTAAAAGAAATACATAATTTCGTTACTTACCCAATAAATCACTAGAAATTCAACTACTGAAAGTTACACGTGCTACCCATCAAATTTTGATTTGCAAACTGTGACTAAGCGAGGTTATGAAGTTGCATGCAGTTTATGTTTTCTGCATTAGGTTTCGCGCCTTTTCATTCCTAGTTGTGCAGAATACTACAGAGATGGCCGTAACATGCAATTTTAGAAGTGCGCACTCTTATGTAGGTGCGCGCTCTTGTACACATTTACCCTACATTATGTAGACAATCTATATTTTTTTAAACGTTGTTTTCTGATTTTTAATAAAAGCACATTATGTTTCTAACCGTGTTACGTTTTAATGAAACCTGCCGATATTTTAAAAAATCTTAAAATCTCGCAAGATATTAAGGATTTCCGTTAGGGGGCCGGTATTCCCCCAGTCTCCCCTAGTAGGCATCATGGAGGTACAATAAGTAGGGAGACGACACGACAGTTACCGCGCGACAGCAGATTAGCCATATTGGTGTGACACAAATGTCATCTAGGTATTTGTCAGTAGCTGGCAGCTATTATTAGTTAATTGGTGCTTGACGATTAAGTATTTCCAAGTGTTATTGTTATTGGCGTGTCGTCCATGTTGGTATGACCATAGGCTCCGCCTACTGATACTAGTTCATAATGCACGTCACAAGCCTGGTGTCGTCTCCCCTTATCTTTTACCTCCATGGTAGGCATCAACAAGTGCCAGTAAAACGATGCTATGGCTACCCTTAGGTATAGTTAAAATAGGTTGAACCAGCACTCAATGGTGCTCTGAATTCAATGTGCTTTCCATCCATTGCTCCTAAGCAATGTGGAAAGTTCCACATATCATCAAATTGCTTTGCGATATTGAGCCAATCAACTACAGTACTAGGAACCTAGAAACAATTATTTCAAAATGTCAATGTATGGACTGAAATAATTATATTATAACGTACCTTTAAATAGTCACTTTTTAAATTCTTATAAATTGCTGCACAGACCTGTGGAACAATCTGAGAAATGATTGACTCAGATACTCTGAAGTCATACATTAAGCTTCGGTATGAATTTCCCGTTGCTAGGAAGCGCAACGTTATTATTAATCGATGTTTTGCAGAAATTGCTTCCCTCATCATAGTGTCCTGTTTTTCAATGTCAGGACGAATTAGGTCGAGTAGCTTTTGAAAAGTTATTTCATCCATCCTAATATAGTTCAGGTAAATCTCAGGTTCGTTAAATTCATTGAGTAGGTTTAGGTTTCCCTTTGTGAAATCGTTATTGGCAAGCCACTGCCTGGTCCAAAAACGTCGTTGTCTGCTTTGTTTCTTTTTTTTTAAAAGAGCAACAGCAGAAGCAATCTAAAGATGCGGCAGCAATATCCATTTTTGAATTCCTCGTAAATAGGTTATTTCAGTTTTAACTTTAAATAACAAACCTGATTATAGCATAAGGAGGTAATGTTCTCCAGTGCATACCACTTTATTTTTTTTTATAAATTAAATGTTACTAAAATAGTTACTAAATTGCAAGAAAAATAGCACAAGTTCTATAACCAGAAAATTGCAGAATGTCTTGCTGCAATATTTGGCGCAAGAAATTGCACGTGCAATTTTAACATACACGGAGCAATTTTTCGTGCAATTTCTTGCGGCAATGAATTGCTGCAAAAATTGCAATAAAAATTGCATCGTCTAATACGGCCTTTATGGTTATTATTTGCACCATAAAAATTAGTTAGCTACGGAAATTACACATAAGTATATAAGAATCTGCTTCTTTGTTTTTTAGCAGAATGAACAAATATGCTGATTGATTTAACGACTTTATATAGGTTATGAGTAGATACTTTCGTTGACATTTTTAAATTTTGCACTGCGCTGTGTTCTAAAAACGATTTAGCTCGCAATGTGTGGGTAAAACCCGGACCCGGACTTGGTGGGTAAAAGCCGGACCCGGACCCGGACTTAGTGGATTCTTTCTTTTATATTTTCGTGCATCGTAAAAGCCGTTATGAGGGGCTTGGTAGAGTTCCAAGCATTACTTTTTTCGGTTGGATTGAACCCTTTCTGTGCGTCAAATGTGTTTGGTTCATATTTTCAAAATGCACGAAGAAAGAAGAAATCTGTTTGTTTTGTCAATATTCCTTGTAGTCGCTGTATTAAGTTTTATTTTAGGCGAACGTTAAAGTGGAAGCGGAGCTTATTTTCGCTCGTTCGTACACGATGTTTGTACTCGCTTTAACTTTAGAAGGAATTATTACAGTACGAGATTGAAATCGTCATAGTATGTTCCAGATCATAAAATAAAGCTTAGGATTGTTAACCATCCATATCCCTCCACAAATACAAGAAATATGAACAAAATTGCGCCAGGCATGCGGGTTGGCACATCTTGGTAGCCGTGTAACATAGTAAACATTTAAATAGGGGAATTTGTACCTAGATTACGGAGCAACAATAATCGTCTATTAAAGAGTTTGACTTTGGACTGCGGCTTCTTTACAGTATAGGAAAGAACGATTTGTCCCCATTAGTCGCGACAAAAGTTACAGCTGACAAGGATTCTTGTGGATCGGGAACGGTACAATGATACAAAGGCGACCTCATACAATTAGACACAACTTACTTATTTATGGAGCGATTTTTTGTGATATTTTAGGAGTAGGTTCTTCAAATAAAAGTAAATTCAACGCATATGTAAAAATTATCGCCCACGTGCACAACACCTTTCTTGTTAATGGAGTGAATTTTGTGAAATTGCAACGGCGGGTACTCCGAATGAAGGTAAATAATTCAAGTAAAAAATAGGTCTTTCTTATTTGGATTGATTTTTGAAAAATTTTAATAGTAGGTTCCTCGCAGGAAAGAAAATTCAATTCAAGTCTCCAAAGATATGGCGCTCACGCGGAGAGTCTACTTCTTATTAACGAGCCTCGAGATCGTTTATAATTTTGTATTGCTGTCCGTCTGTCTGTCCGTCTGTCTGTCTGTCTGTACGTCTGTCCGTGTGCAGGATAACTTTGTGTAGAAACGTTCGACCGCTTTGAAAATTGATACACATGTTCTTCGGGATATATGAAAGGTCGCTATTGCTTTTCGGCTACGTACTCCAACGGGCCGTAAAGTTACAATACAAAAACTGCCCAAACCTCCAAAAAGGGTTTCTTTTATAACTCTTGTTACAAAGAACGTATTAATGTCCCTTTTCTGTGTTACTAAATATTCCTTAAACTTCAGGCAACTATGTAGATGCGCGATATTGCGCATGCGCATTACAACCTTTGTATTTGCGCAATCCCAATTCCTCGAATAAAAGTAAAACTAATGCCCCTCAAAAAATTTGTTTTGCGCGTAAGCAGTCGCTTTTTTGCAATTTTTTTATTTCTTAAGATATTTAAATGAAATTTTGTATGTAGGCATCTCGAATAAAATTAAAACGTATGCAGATTCAAAAGTTTATTTTACAAGCTATGCTGATTTGGTGGGACAGGTATTTCAGTATTCGGTATTCAGTTGTATGGGATTTTTTATGCAGAAATTTGTGAAATTTTAACGGTAGATCCTTTGAACAAAAGACATTCAATGCGCGCCTGAAAAATTGTGTCACGCATAAGCAGAACCAACTTCCTTGTCCATTGGGAATATGAAGCAATTTTTATGAACATTACAGAGGTTCTCGTAAACCGAGTATCGGTTTATTTGACATCAACCCATGATACAGGGGGACACAGAAGTCGATCCAAGTAACCTTCCAAGCCCTACTTTGAGTTGAGCATTGAATAAAACATCTAATTAATATATAAATAAAATGTATTGTCCAAATAAAGCAATTATAGATTGGGCCGTATGAATAAAAGTAAGCAAATGCTTATACTTGCAAAATTCAAAGTAAATACTCGTAACTGCCCCTTCATACTGGTCTGTTTAGCATGGTTTAGCAGCGCTGCACTGCGTCCTGTCCTTCTGCTTAGAAGCGCTGCTAAGTTGCCCAGTGCGAAGGAGCACTTACAAGTATTTACTTTGAATTTTTCAAGTATGTATAAGCATTTGCTTACTTTTATTCATACGGCCCATTAATTAAAAAATCAAAAATGGTTAGGTGCCCGGTAGGGTAGACCGGGGTCAGTAGAAACAGGGTACGGTTGAAACAGCGCTAGTAATTCAAAAACTAATATCATATCGGGGCGCGCGCAAGGAGTAGGAGACGCTGCTTATGTATCGGAACCACTCGTGAGAAAATGGTGTCACTTCGAGCGTAATCATATCGTGTCAAAGTAGTAGTTGTATTTTGGTGTGCAAAAGTAAGTATTTTTGTTGCTGTTCTTTTTATTTTTATTCCCAAACTGTACCAGTTACAGCAATTACAGTTTTTTATGTAAGAACTTTGATTATTGGAGTTCAAATGGGTACCCTTCTTTTTTATCTTAAGTTGTATATTTTCCAAGTTACGAGGACAAATTTTCTAAATGGACACTCGGGGCCGGTTGTAACAAATTTTGCCGGGTCGGTTGAAACGTTTCAACTAACCCCGTTTCAACCGACCCCATAGACATTTCAAAGCGGTTAAAATTGTGTTTTGTATTTTTAGATGCCTCGAAAACGTGTAAAAAAGACAAATAAAGGACAGAGTAATATAGCGCAGTATTTGGAAGCCTATGAAGAAGTGAAAAATGGCATGTCTCTTAGAAAAGCCGCTGATAAATACACTTTAAATCACGTATCCCTCCTACGATATAAAAGAAAACGAGAGGCTAATGGAGATGACAGTGGAGCATCAACTTCCATGGGCTACGTAGCTCATAAGTGTTCACGGACGCACAAGAGAAGACTCTAGCGAAATATTTGATGCGATGTGCTGACATTTATTTTGGTCTACCCCCAAAAGAAGTGAGAAAGCTAAGTTACGAGTTAACTTTAAAGTATAACCTAAAACGGCCAAGTTCCTGGGATGAAAACCGAATGGCCGGAGAGGATTGGTTTAGTGCTTTTATGCGTAGAAATACGGAACTTTCATTAAGGGCTGCTCAAGCCACAAGTTTGTCCAGGGCGACTAGTTTTAATCGAACGAACGTGGATGCGTTTTACGACAATTTACAAAAAGTTATGGACCGTGATAGTTTCGAGCCACAAGACATTTATAATATGGACGAAACAGGCGTGACTACAGTCCAGCGTCCTGACAGAGTTGTTGCCAGACGCGGCATTCGTCAAGTTGGATCGGTCACTTCAGCAGAGCGTGGTACACTCGTTACGATTGCTTTCGCCGCGAATGCCATAGGAAACGTTATACCACCTCTATTTGTATTTCCGCGTGTTCGGTACCAAGACCATTTCATAAGAGATGGCCCATTAAGTGCAGTGGGAACAGCAAATCCTTCAGGATGGATGCAAGACGAAGGTTTCATGCTGTTTTTGAAACAGTTTCAGAAACACACAAACTGTTCAGTTAACCATAAAGTGCTATTAGTATTAGACAATCATTCGTCCCATGTTCATATCAACGCATTGGATTTCTGTAAAGAAAATGGAATCGTTTGTCTGTCGTTTCCGCCGCACTGCTCGCACAAGTTGCAACCGCTTGATCGATCGGTGTATGGCCCATTCAAAAAAGCTGTAAATTCACAGTGTGACGCTTGGATGAGAAACCACCCTGGAAAGACAATGAGTATTTATGACATTCCTGGTGTGGTGGCCAGAGCTATGCCATTAGCTCTCACTCCTGGCAATATTCAGGCAGGTTTTAAGAAGACTGGCATTTATCCATATAATCGCGACATATTTAATGATCTTGATTTCGCACCTGCTTACGTCACTGATCGACCAACTCCGAACGAAGCAAAGCCCCAAGATGACAGTAATTTGCCAGAAACAAATAATAATTCGACTTCAATTGAGAAGCCAAACTCCAATTATGATTCTCAACACACACCAAATGCGAGTGATGTCGAAGAAAATAGTAATGAGGCTATTCTGGCGGAAGAAAGCGTTCAAGAAAGTACCACCTTTCAATTTCTTCAGCCTTCTCTACCTGCACCAATAAATCCTACACCACATGATAATTCAATCACAAATAGTAGAACAAATTCGCCGAAACTATCTACGAGTGATGAAGTCTTTACGCCCCACATAGTAAAACCCTACCCCAAAGCTCCACCCAGACAAACAGAAAACAAGGGAAGGAAAAAGAGAAAATCTACGATATATACAGATACACCGGAGAAAGAAGCAATACAAAAAGAAGCGGAGGAAAGAGAACGAAAAAAAAGGGCGAAAGAAATGAAAGTCAATAGAAGCCTTAAATCAAAATGTTCTAAGCCCAAAGGAATTAAAAAGATGAAAACAACTAAAAAACCCAAAGTGTCTTCTGATGAGGATGAAGAAGAGTATTACTGTTTGGTCTGCATGGAAAGTTATGGCACCAGCAGGCCAGGAGAGGATTGGTTGCAATGCACCGGTTGTAAAATGTGGGCTCACGAGGCCTGCACAGCTGGTGATCCTTTTTATTTGTGCCACAATTGTGAATCTGATTAGTATTAATTAGCTGTGCCTTGGCATTAATAAATGACTATATTATGTGATTTTTTTATGATTTACTCGTAATACCTATATTACCACATAATTCTATTTAGGTACTCTTGGAGCGTTACAACCAACCCCAATCACTGTTACAACCGTCGCGAGCATGGTGCCGGTTGAAACATTTTCAACGATTTTTGCAAACGCTTATAAATGGTTTTTGTAATTCTGATAAAGCCATTATAACATCATATATCTATAGTCTTAGAACGCAAGTTCAATTAGTGCATTTATACCACACGTTTACGTTAAAATGTTGTTATAGTGAACGATTTTGTCAAAAATGGTTCAACCGTCCCCGGTCTACCCTACTTAGATACTATAAATTAATAAAAATGTGTTTACAGATACCGTGGGGGAAATTTTTTTGACCCTACTTGATAAGTCGTCGGAAACCTCCCAAGGCATGTCACATCTTCGACATATGGCAACAAAATGGCCAATACCACCAAGAACTGCCGCCGGTTTATATTGTATTACTGCCCGAAGATTCATTAATTTGTCGCCCAGATATGTCTTTCAGAGTTACCTCAAATGGTTGTTCCACGCAGGTGTTTGTGTTTGGCCGTCCCAGATCAATACATACAACCTCGTTGTAGTGTCGAACCACTTCCATTTTTCTGAAACATTCTCTACAATTTCTGAAAGTAGGAGCACGTATATTAGGGTGGGCCGATTTCCGTGCTTTAAAAAAATATGAATTTGCAACTATACAAAAGTTGCAAAACCAGGAAACAAACAATTTTTTTATTTGACAAAAATATATATTTTTATGTTTTCAACTGCCACAACGACAATTAAATTTCGAATTTTGAATTTTGTAAATAACGAATTGTGCATATGGAAAACTTATTTAGGATACAAAAGTAAACATTTTTTGTTAAATAAAATATTCCTTCGTTTTTATTATTTCAACTGCCACGAGAGCACCAAAACTTCAAGGTTAAAATTTTAATATCTGCACATGAAAAACATATGTAAGAGAAAATACTGAAAAATTTTTGTTAAATAATTTTTTCTGTATTTTTATGTTTTAAACTGCCACATCTCCAATTAACCAACGTCTGCCACTGCGCCGTTCGTCCACTAAAATATGGCGTGTTTTAAGATCACGTGATGAACCATCAGTAAAGTGGGAATTTAGTCACAACAGCCACATACCTTGTTTACCAGTTGCTTGCTGATTGTGACGACGTGACGTGCTTCTATGATTTTTATTGTTGAAGGTTTAGAGTGTAAATATAATCATAAATATTAAATATGTCGTGTAAAACCCGAAGTGAATTAGAATGTCCTATATTTGGAGCTCCAAAGTGTATTAGTGAACTTGTTCTGCCAACATATGAAGATATGAATAGGTATTTCAACTGGGTGGAATATGAACTGAAGCCCGTATCCACAAATCCACAGCAAACTGCAACTGAAGCAACTAAGGTTGTTGCGAAAAAAATTGCAGAAATTTGGTGTAAAGCGTCAATTCCCACTGTACTTCAATGTACTATTATTAAACGTATAACGAGTTATCGTCTTAAAATAAGGAATTTATTAAAACCTTATAAACAACGAAATAAAATACCAAGCTATCAAAAGCAGTTGCAGGATTTTAGAACGCAATCAAAAGTCCTATTTGATGTGGCTGCCTGTAAATGTCTAGAACCTAGTTCGTGTATCTGCGACAAAGTATTCAAAGTTCCACAAGAAGAACGCTCTTTTTTATTAGACCAAAGAAGCGTAAGACATATGATGATGAGTTCCGTGGATGAAAAAACAACAAAAAAGTACCAGAAGCGGATTGAAAGAAATGACATGAAAACAAGAACCGAATCCGATGAGAGAGTTCACTTAAAGGTAAAGAAAGATTTAGATACAAGGAAATTAGTGAAAAGATCCCATCAAGATCAAGAGCCAAGTACTTCTCAACAGGTTTCAACTTTGCCTCTAGGAAGTTCAGAAATTCCATACAATTCATTACTACTACCTGTGCTAGCGCGAACACTTGATCGATATGGTATTTCTGATAGAGCTGGGGCTGCAGTAGCTTCAGCCGTTCTACAGGACATTGGTATTATAAATGAAGAGGACAAGAGCAGTATCATAGATAAGAACAAGATTCGTCGCGCTAGAAGTAAGAAACGTGAAGATATAATAGTTAACACCCAACATTCATTATTAAGAGGCTTGTTTTTTGATGGACGGAAAGATGAAACGCTGAAGATGGAAGACAGTCGTCGGCGAAAAGTTCGAGAAGAACACATTACTCTCATAAAAATGCCAGAATCGGTATACTTGGCACATGTTTGTCCTGAATCAGGAACCTCGTCGAACATCATAAAATGTATTTTGAATTACTTGGATGAATCCCATATTACAACAGATGACCTGAGAGTAATAGGATGCGACGGAACAAACGTCAATGTTGGAAAACATTCGGGCGTAATTGTAAAATTGGAGAAACATTTAAATAGACCGTTGCAGTGGTTTATTTGTCAGTTACATGGTAATGAATTGCCATTGCGACATCTCATAAGTTTTCTTGATGGCAGCACAACGGGGCCTAAAGGCTTCTGTGGACCTATTGGACAGGCATTGAAGGGATGTGAGAGTCTTTCCATTGGTAATTTATGTTCATTTTATTATCTATATATTTATTTATTTTTTTCATTACAGGTAATTTCAATATAATTGAGTCAAATGTTCCGATATTGAATGATTCTGTTAAGACTGATCTAAGCACTGATCAAAAATACCTTTTTGATATGTGTGGTGCAATTTCGAAGGGAACTGTTGATGAAAAATTATCCAAACGAAGCCCAGGTAAAATGGTGCATTCCCGATGGCTGACAACGGCTAATCGTATTCTGCGGCTATACGTTTCAACTGATGAACCATCGGAAAACTTGGTTATCTTGGTAACTTTTATTTTAAAGGTGTATGCTCCAATGTGGTTCATTATTAAAAGCAAACCATCATGTTTGCAGGGAGCCTTTAATGTTTGGAAAATGATACAATTATCTAGGTATTTACCGAAAAACTTGAAGGATGTGATTGATCCAGTGATATTTCGAAATAGTTACTTCGCACATCCTGAAAATATTCTCCTTGGAATGCTAGGTGACACCAGAGAGCATATTCGAGAGCTTGCTGTGCGTCGAATTTTGAAAGCTCGGAGATCTAACATACAGCAATTTCCACGACAATTTGAAGTGCCAAATTCGCTGAATATCAACGCCTCATGCTATACGGACTTAATTGATTGGAGTTGGGGTACTCTTGTCATAAATGAACCGCCATTAACAATAGGGTTATCTGAGGCAGTTCTACTAAATGACTTTGTAAAAAATCCAGGTACATCAATGCGTTTCTCTGAAATAAAATCGTATCCATGTCACACGCAAGCGGTTGAACGTGCTGTTAAAATTGTGACGGAAGCTTCAGGTACAGTTTGTGGTAGTGATAACAGAGATGGCGTAATAAGGGCGAAGTTGGAATCACGTAAAATTATGCCTTCTTTTGGATCAAAGCAAGATTATAAATTAGATTGAGTTTTATTTGTTCAAGAAATGTTTGATAGTATACCTATATTTAAGTATATAGGTACCTATAAACGCATTATTATGTTAGATACTAAAATATTTTCATTTCGGATTTTGTAGTACATGTACTTGTGAATTTGTTTTATAATAAATATTAACTTTATCTTGCTTAAATAATAGTATTTTAACCACTCGATTTGGCTCAAAATAAAATTATAAATTCATAATTTTTAAAATGCCGTTGTGGCAGTTTAAATTGCAAAAATACGGAAAAAAGTAATAAAGAAAATTTGTTTCTTTTTAAGTAATTCAACTTCTACGAATATGCATATTTTGAAAATTTAAAATTAATAAAATCAAAACTTTTTTTTTTTGATTTACTCGACCCGCAAATCATAAAAATTTTATTTTAGTGCTATCAGAAAGCTGAGAAAAAATAACTAAGGGTTTGTTAAAAGTATTTTTCCATATCTTTGAAAATAAATGAACGCCAGAACATTTTTGAAAATGACATTTTTCGGTTTTTTGGCCATAACTTTGCTATTTGTAAAGCTACAACAATATTACAAAATAGGATAATTAATCACCATACAATTTTGCATAACTTTGCCCACTTAATCAACTTTGTAACTCTTTTCAAATGGATATTGATAACAGTGGTCAGAGTACTAACAGGATTGAATACAACCCAATCTTTACTAAAACTTGCCAAGGAAGTGGTCAAAGATTGAACAGTAGTAAGTGCCCTGTTAGGGAAAGTGCTAGCAAGTTTTATAATAAACAAGTATAAATTATTGTGCACAACTTTTGTGCAGAGAAAGCGCATTTTTTAAACCGAAACAGTTGGTTTATAAGGGGCGGACGCTCTTTACACACAAACATTTGAAGACCGCCTGGCATACATTCAAAATCCTAAGACACTCCATTATGAAGATTTTGCCTTTGATAGTAGTTTCCTCTTAAAGTTTTGACATCAGCAATGTATATATTTCTTGCAGACGTCCAAATCACCCGTTGTGAGTGTGTTTCTTCCAACGAAACCATTCTGAGCTTAGGAACTAAGGATAATGATTGTATACAAACCCACCATTACATTCATTTGCTGGTGTTTGTTGGTTCATCGTTTGTTGGATATTCGTTGATTATTAAATATTAATTAATTAATTAAATATGAATATAATTACCGTAATTTCATCATGTACCAATAGGAAATAAATATTTATAGCGTACCTGTTTCCTGTTCATACAATGTTTTTGGTTCCAGTTTTGACTTTCATTAATCAGCACCTTAGGCTTAACAACTGCAGCGTTACGGATGAATGGCTTCCGATTATGTATCGTATTTCCATGTTGCAACTCTTTCGCGATACCATGATCTCCTTCGTAGCTAACAAACACATATTCGGCTTCATCATTGACGAATTCGTAGTCACATTTTTGAAACTCAACTGTCATCGCGCGAAAATAGGTTTTGTACATAGCAGGTGTAGTTAATAACTTCTTTCGCCCACAGTTTATCCATCTGTACTGGTCACATCGCCAATAACCTATTATGGATAAAACATTAATTACCTAAATTATATTCACCGGATTGCATGTTTTATGTGCCTACCTTTTGGTCCCGCCAATTTTTTAAACACGTAACATGTCTGACCGGAAGGCTTTATTGGAGGTAAGGTGGAGACCTTTTCGGCAACTGGGTTATCTAAATGAGATATATTGTAATAATATATTGTGTAATATTTACATAGTTACTCAATATTTCCACAATGCCCTCAATTGTAAGGCCTGGATTTTTCTCAGCATAGCACAAATATTGCATATCCATCATCTCTATTTCCAGATAATTAGTCACAAGTTGTAATTCCTTAGCAATCTACAACTAGAGCTGGAAAGTTAAAAAGTCGGTAGCATAGTAGCACCTTTGAGGATGAATTCGCATCGAATGAGCTCGGACTACATAGGTATAGAACAAAAACCGCCTCTGGTCAATACAAGCATTTTTCACACACTGAAACTAACACACTTAAATATTACAGTCTCCGCTGACTGTGGATCTTTTTGTAGTCTTGGCGCGAGAAAAATCTATCGGATTTGCACACCGTAAATGCAAATTACTGTTAGGTTCTTAGACCGAATGGTAAACGTGCATTTTTCTTATTTGCAGTGTAGGATCGGGAGTTGGTGTAAAGTTGTCACAAAAGTAGGTAAACACTAAACACTTCCTTCTTGGAATATAACTGAGACAAAATTGCAACAAAATCCTCTAGACCAGGGTTGTCCAACTTTATCTGGTGCAAGAGCCACTTTAAAAAAAAATTGTAATAATGGTGCATTGACGAAATATTAAGTGATTACGCTTTATTTATTTTTTATTTATTCGCGTATTACCTGCGTTTACTATTTCCATAGGTGTCCTATTAAAAACTTGTTTTCATAAAGAACAATAAATTTACAATATAATATTATATTACGTGTCCCGATCATTGTGATCCTCAGTATTACCCTCACTTTTATAACGACCATTAATTTAACCTTCCAAAATAAATATAATCAAGAAGAATGCATCAAATTCACACCTTGGGAATTGAGGTAATGCTCTTTGTCTTTTTCCCAATGATCTTGGTGAATAAATAACAATGTTGACCGGCCTTGATAAAACTACATGTGGTCGCGAAAATTGTATTAAATGCATATAATTATATCCTTTGAAATACCTGACTATTATTTCATCATCTTATTCTCCTCATTTTATCAGAATCTATTATTGTCATTTCATCAATATTGATCATTTAAATAATGAAACGACTACTGAACATTGCATCACCCCAAAATTAGAAGAAACCTATCGCTTGATTATTCTAAAAATATCTTGTTGATAAAAGAATGTATAAAAGTCTTGCTAACATATTATTAGGCAGTTCTTTCTTATTAACACCTGTTAGTGAATAACTCACATTGTATTTTATTTCTAAAATAAAGTGCATTAAACATAATTATATTTTGATCATTGAGATAATGCTCTTCGTCTTTTTCCTAACGATCTCGGTGCAAGATTAACGATTTGGGCATGTTTTGAGCAAAATCCATGCGGTCGTCAAAAATGCATCAAATTCATGTTTTGGGCATCAAAATAATGCTCTTGGTCTATTTCTCAACGATCTTGGTGCACGAATAACGATTTTGACATGTTTTGATGAAAAACCATGTGGTCGCCAAAATTATATTAAATTCATATATTGATCATTGAGATAATGCTCTTCGTCTTGTTACTAACGATCTCGGTGCAAGAATACTCATGCGGTCGTCAAAAATGCATCAAATTCATGTTTTGAGCATCAAAATAATGCTCTTGGTCTATTTCTCAACGATTTGGCATGTTTTCATCGAAAGTACATGTGGCCTCAGAAAAAGAATGTAACATCTTTGAATCAAGCACATGCAGTTATCAAATGTGCATGTGCTGTACACTTTCATCATCAAGATACATACTCGTATTTACAACTTCAAATTCATGTGCGTAAAAATAATTTTGGGTAGGTTCATCTCGTTCTAAAAGTTTTGACCTATATCACAGAGAAGAGTTATATTTGAATTGTTACACATATAAGAGACATAGTGAATAATCTAGCGAATGTCCGAACTTGATACATGACCTAGGGATGAAAGATGTTGATTTCTATTATATTGAGCTCGCAGTTTTTCCTGTTCCCGATTCACCCGAAGTCCTATAACTTTTATTCACGTTGATCCAGCTTCCTGAAAATCAATACCGTCCTACTCGTCTCGTACACCAAATGCCACCGCGATCGGCTACCTTTAAAAAGAACGCACACGGGCGGACGGATAACTATACAAAACTATAAAGGATCTGAGGTTCATAGCTTCCGCTATATAGCGTTCGCCTAAAATATCACAATACAAATGAGAAAAGAAATTCATTTCCCATATTATTCATGTAATAATGTAAGTAATTGGATTCTAATTTTTTCGTGCATTTGAAAATATGGGGTGAACGCATTTGACGCACAGAAGGCATTAAATCCCGAAAAAGTAAGGCTTACTCTTCGCCATGGATTGTCATTATGGCTTCGATGTTTCAATTCACGAAAATATAAAAGAAAGAATCCACCAAGTCCGGGTCCGGGTCCGGGTTTTACCCACCAAGTCCGGGTCCGGGTCCGGTTCATTTTTTATAGTTTTCCGGAAAGCTAGAAGGTTTCCAAAGCAAACTCTTTAATAGACGATTATTGTTGCTCCGTAATCTAGATACAAATTCCCCTAGTTAAATGTTTACTATGTTACACGGCTACCAAGATGTGCCAACCCGCATGTCTGGCGCAATTTTGTTCATATTTCTGGTATTTGTGGAGGGATATGGATGGTTAACAATCCTAAGCTTTATTTTATGATCTGGAACATACTATAGTACTAGCGGTATAACGGAAATTCTTGAAAGATACTGCATTTTTTTATACCAAGGTGCCACTTGGTACAATTGTTTCTTAGAGCCATTTAAACGATTTGACCCGAAGAACACTTGACATTTTCCGTGTGGGTAGATTTTAGAGGGGTTGAGGGTGATTTATTTTTTAAAAAACTAAGTATGGCCTAGAGACGAGATCATCGATTTCGTATGATTTTAACCCGAGGAATCCAATGGTGGCGCCAGAAATGTAATCCGGATACCGGAAGTCCGTGAAAAGCCGCCATTTTTAGAAAATGACAGACTTTTAATCGAATTATATTTTTAAGGCACACCGAGTCGTGTAAGGTGTCTAGACTTATGTTTTTGGGGTCAGGGAATTCATTTATGATAACAAATATAACCTACTGGCATCGGAACTGCATGAGAGGCTTCCTTACTGCACTTTTTGAAGACGTCGCACGCGGTGAAACCCAAGATATTCCAAAGTTGTAATACCTACATAAATTTGTAATATTTTATTTAATAAAAATACATATTAATAAAACATAAGATATATTAAAATATGGGGTAAAAAATGTATAAGCCTATGAAGAATCACCAAGTACATCGCTGACCTCCTCTGAGATTGCGTATCACCACTGAAAAGGAATTCTACATATAAATATTAAAGGTTCGGTAGTAAATTATATCGAAAGTATACAATATTCTTACCCTTTGTTTGAGCAATCTCCCATACACATTTTTGGCATGCAGGGGAACAATGGTAATCCGTGTCGCCGCAGCAAGAGGTGGAGGAGCACATAAGGAGGGCGGCGTATGTCGTTGGCCATATCTGGGGATGTGCAAACCAGGTGATGAGAAGCTCTACAAGTCCAGAAGGATGGGGATGGACTCTTGAAGCCAAGGGCTGGAAGGTTCTGTAGTCCAAGCTGCCACAAGTATGGAAGGCAGTCCGTGCTCTGGACAGGTGTGGCTGCGCGACAGGCTGCGAGACCCTTAGGTGCAGCTGCCGGCGACACGGATTGCCATGTTCCCCTGCATGCCAAAAATATATGGGAAATTGCTCAAACCAAGGGTAAGAATATATTGTATACTTTCGGATATACCTAATTTACTACCGAACCTTTAATATTTATACCGGGTGAATATTCCCAAAACGAACATAGGGAATTAACATGGGAAAAGGGGTTTTTGTAGATAATTGCTCCCCATGTTAATTTAGAGGGTTGATCATGACACCAATCGAAAGAAGATTTTTTCCCTCGTCTAATGATATACGAATTATACTGCATTCATTATAAGAAGGTAGTAGATGGCGCTGTGTTTGAAGATAAACACACACAGGAAAAATATAAAACGGCACCAAATTATTGTAAAGTAGAAATATTCAGCACTGCGAACAGAAATAAATCTTTGACAATAACAACCAATGACACTTCGGCAGTTTAGATGGCAACATAAATTACCACCTTACAAAATTCACCAGTCGTTTTATGTTTCATTGTAATACTGACTCGTGTTTTAACCAATCACAGTGAAGGTCAAAGCCTCCCTATGCTTTCTACCGCTACCTTCTTAAAATGAATACAGTATAGTTCATTTTCAGGTGTATTTCTCACTGTATTATCAAAAACTCGAGAAATCCACTTACCAAAATCATGTTTAGCCATGACTAAGACAAAAAGCAGATTCAAACGTCGAAATCAATATCAGTTTATGACACCTGGCATTATTTTTTGTAAAATGCGGTTCACTGAGGAAAAAGTATTTATAATAAACAACGTTTACAGCGGAAATATTGGTACTCGCTGCGCTCGTGGACTAAACATCTCACTCACCAATAAAACGCCTCATTTATACACTCATTGCATAAATAACTATTATGTTTTGTTAATGTGTATTTTTATTAAATAAAATATTACAAATTTACGTAGGTATTAAAACTTTGGAATATCTTGGGTTTCACCGCGTGCGACGTCTTCAAAAAGTGCAGTAGGGAAGCCTCTCATGCAGTTCCGATGCCAGTAGGTTATTTTTGTTATCATAAATGAATTCTCTGACCCCAAAAACATAATTCTAGACACCTTACACGACCCGGTGTGCCTTAGAAATAAAATTCGATCAAAAGTCATTTTCTAAAAATCGCGACTTTTCACGGACTTCCTGTATCCGGATTACATTTATGGCGCTACCATTGGATTCCTCGGGTTAAAATCATACGGAATCGACACCCAGATCTCGTCTCTAGGCCATATTTAGTTTTAAAAAAAATATTA